TGCCACACACAGTCAAAGGACTGAGAAATATCAAGCGCAACAGCTCTTGACTCACGATGTTTCTTGATTGCGTTATTGCGATTGTTTCCGAAAGCCATATTGATAATCGCTCAAGATGTTGAAGCTTTTCGAATATTCAAGGATATGGTGGTTTACGGCTTTCTCCATGATTTTTAATATCACTGATAGCAAAGCGACTGCTGTATAGTTAATTGAAAGATTGGTCTTCCCCTTTTTGGAAATAGGCTGAACGCGAGCAATCTTCCATCAAGAATGAGAAACCCCTTCCTTGTAAGACAGGTAGAAAAGTCTGCAAAATACTGGTGCGAGTTCCTTTTCTGCACTTTTTGAATACGATGACGGGCACTTCATCAGGACCAGACGCCTTGGTGATATTAGCTGTTCCAAAATTCGCCTGACTCGACGGTGTCGAAAAGTAATTTCCGGCATTGTGGATTCTAGTTTGGGAACAGTGGGTGGTGCCTTTTCCAGAAAATCGACAGTGGAGTGGGTCGCAAATTGTTCAGTTAATAAGTACATATGCATACGAAAAGAGAAGAATCTCTTATCTCAAGATGTCAAGGTATTAGAGTAAACCAGAGCACAAATTTTATTATTATCAAATGACCTCAATATGTCATCTGAACTAACCACAGTGCTGATGAACAACTGTAGCTTTACCTGAATCCACTCTTATATATGGCAAGTATATTATTATCTTCTGTGTGTTATCATTTTCAGTTCAAGAACTTCTTCTAGTACTTTCCATAGGGTTGGTAGCACATTTTATGCTTCGTAAGTGACAGTGTTCCGTTGGGTTACTAATGGCGTTGCTAATGGCGTGTTTCCGAACTTTAGAAAAGAAACAAGAAACAAAAGACAACATGAATGATGTATAAAATTGAATATGGACAACCGAGCAGAATCATGTTGATATTTCTATTGTCAAGTCTGGAAAAATCAGATTTTATGAATTATTGTGGAAACCTGATCCTCAGTTGTCTGAGGATCTGAGAAATATCTGCCATTGTTGTTTGCCATGAGAATTCTGAAGTACGTGCTTTGAATGTACCTTTCATTCTCTTGTGATGGTGGAAGAAGTAAAATTTCTCAATTGTAATAATCAAGATGAGCAGGCCGTCGACTTCCTGTATACCTTCTGCGAACTTTGTCACTAATAACAACTAATAACAAGATATTATCATAGATAACGTTCATTTCATCATCAATTGATTCAGTTTAGTAAATACTATCTCAAAGAAGGTTTTCAAGATTCCTTCTGAAAACTTATGATGCACTGTTTGGAATCTTTGGTGTAGTAATGACTATTACTGGAGTTTTTTCCCAACACCAAATCGTTATTTTTATCACCTTGACACGTGTTTCGATCACCAAGTGATCATCTTCAAAAGGAAGATTAAACTGGAAATCTTCCCTAAGCTAACGCTATTTATGCTATATAGTATACCACATATACATGGTTGGTTGGTTGGTTGGTTGGTTGGTTGGTTGGTATAGGTACACCGCACCTAAATTTACAATTTTACAATATGTCCTTATGTAATGTTCAAATGTTATAGCTACATATAAAACAATTTTCAGCTATATAAAAAATTGATTTCACAATATTGCCTTATGTAGTAATCAGTAAATCCAATAATATTATTTTAACAAGCGTTATAGTATGATATTTGGTATTGGTCCGTCATTGTTATTCATAGTATTATTATATTTACTTATTTCTACACTCTCATAGGCATCTGGTTGCCTGTTGTTGTTAACTTGTCTAAATAATCTTAATAAACTGAATTCTATGGAATGGTTTTGTTGCAAAATATGATGGATGACTGCTGATTTTTCAGGTCTTCCATATTTTAAGTGTGCTATGTGTTCCTTATATCTCACTTTAATAGATATTTTTATCTCTCCATATTATTCTGCATCGCAGTGCTTACATTCAATTTGACTTTTCTTTGGTTTCCATTTCGAATCTGCTCATGAATAGGTCTGCCAGGTAGGGAGACAAGGAGTTTCCCATGGCCGTTCCTCCCTGTTGTTCATGAAAGCAACCTTCTATCTGGAAACGATTTTGTTTCATACACAAATTAGTAAGAGAAACAAATTCATCGATTTCGTAATTATTGGAATTGTTTTTCTCTAGTGATTCCCTGAGGTATTGCAAGGTCTGTGGAATTGGGACTCTAGGAAATAGGGAACTAACATCAAAAGAAACCAAAATCTCACCTTCTTGCAGAACCATGTTTTTCGTATGTTGTATGAACTCTTGAGAGTTTTTTATACTAACACCTGATTCCGCAATAGACAAGGTTTCAAATTCCTTAGTGAGCCACTTTGCTGGAATTTTGGGAGGCAATATCCACAAACCGGGAAAATCAATGCGCCCCATCGTGTCAGCTATTGGACTCCTACCTACCAAATAGCAAAGTGGCTCACTAAGGAATTTGAAACCTTGTCTATTGCGGAACCAGGTGTTAGTATAAAAACTCTTTAGAATTCATACAACATACGAAAAACATGGTTCTGCAAGAAGGTGAGATTTTGGTTTCTTTTGATGTTAGTTCCTTATTTCCTAGCGTCCCAATTCCACAGACCTTGCAATACCTCAGGGAATTACCAGAGAAAAACAATTTCAATAATTACGAAATCGATGAATTTGTTTCTCTTACTAATTTGTGTATGAAACAAAATTATTTCCAGATAGAAAATTGCTTTTATGAACAACAGGGAGGAACGGCCATGGGAAACTCCTTGTCCCCCTACCTGGCAGACCTGTTCATGAGCAGATTCGAAATGGAAACCAAAGAAAAGTCAAAGTATTTTTCTAGGATTTGGCTAAAGTATGTGGATGATATTTTCGCGATATTCAATAACAAAAAATCGAATATTGAGGACTTTGTTTCCTTTTCAAATAATAGATGTACATCAATAAGATTCACGTATGAGTTAGAAAATAAGGGACAAGTATCATTTCTTGACGTTTTGGTAATGAGGAGCTAATATGGAGGGTTAGAAGATATATTTAGAAAGGAAACAAGCACGTACAGGTATATTCCTGGCAGTTCACATCACTGTGGACAGCACCAACGTGCTGGGTTGAATTTTTTAGTGCATCGTCTTTTGACTTTCCCTCTAACACATGATAGATTCACAAAAAGAAAACTTACAATACAGGAAATAGCAGCCACTAACGGTTTCTCGAGGGGTATTGTAGATGACATAATAAGAAAGAAGAAGTTTAGGTTAAGAATGAACGAAATCTCGACTTTCAGAAAGGACAAAAACCAAGAAAAATACATCTCAGTTTCATACCACCAATATACGAAGAACTTTGGAAAGATTTTCAAGGAACTATGTATGAAGGTGGTTTTTCAAACAAGTCATACACTACAGAGCCTTTTGGGAAGTCCAAAAGAAAAAGTCGAGATTTCGGAAAAGTTTGGAATTTACGAAATTAAATGTTAGGACTGCGATGCAAAATATTATGGAGAGACAAAAAGATCTATTGAAATAAGATATGAGGAACACATACCACACTTAAAATATGGAAGACCATGAAAAATCAGCAGTCGCCGATAATATTTTGCTTCAAAACCATTCCATAGACTTAAGTCCATTGAGATTAGTTAGACAAGTTAACAACAACAGGCAACTAGATGCCTATGAGAGTGTAGAAATGAGTAAACATAATATGAATAACGATGATGGACCAATACCAAATAGCATACTATATAACTTGTTAAAATAATATCATTGGATTTACTGATTACTACATTAGGACACATTGTNAAAACAATTTTCAGCTATATAAAAATTATTTTCACGATATTGCCTATCCAAATTAGCTCGCACTAGTCCTTAGTTTTAATCTTCCTCTTTGAAGATGATCACTTGGTGATCGAAACACGTGTCGAGGTGTTAAAAATAACGACTTGGTATTGGGAAAATACTCGAGTAATATTCTTTTCTCAACAAGTGCATTGGGATGACTATAATTTAGAAATATGGACAACATTCAACATCAACATTTTCCCCATTGAGATATATTTCAGATTCGTTTTTCAAGACTCACCTTTCCTCTTGAGTGGGAATACTGGGGAACCCACGACTTAGCCAGTAAGCAGGATGGTTTGGATTCAACTGGTTGGATCTATTGTTGTCCATATCTGATGAAACTATTTCAACTTCAAACTTTCCACTTGAAGAGACAAACAAAATAATGCACTCGATAAACTTTTTGCGATTATATATTCAGCAATAACTCACATGGGAAGCACTGGTTTCAGTGACATTGTATTTTAACCCCAGGTCACGATAACTATCGATGCACATAATGCGTATAGTGAAGCAGATTCGGATAATTTTCAATATATTTTAATAATTCAATATCATGTTTGTTTCATTAGATATAAAATGTTCATTTCTTTACTAATACATTTGATAGACAATTTTCAGAAACTCTGGTGGATTCATCTATTTTCTGTATCATATTAATCCGATCAGGAAATCAATGAATTTGAAAAATGATAAGTATATCAAAATATATCTTCCCCTTCTCTATGATTCTGAATCAACAGGGGTTGCTCTCAGCTGTTCTAATCTCCGGCCTTTCAACTATATTCAAGACAAGCACCAGTTCCAAATACCAAAACTGCAATAGTCTTTTCGACGTGCGTTTTACCAACCAACTCTTCAGTTTACTTTATCTTTCAAAGACGCAAAAGTGATTGGTGAAACGCACGTAAAGAAAAGTGTTACAGTTTTGTTGTTTCTACGCCTTTCATTGATATCTTCATCATTATCTCCACTTCATCTTAAAGAAATCACTATTAGAATCACTAGCAAACCAATTTAAAATATTTTGACTGTGAAAGGTAGATATACATATACGAGTATATTACAGTAGATGATAACATCCAGTGAGCACAATACACTATTCGATATTCGACTGTATAGAAAGTAAGTTCTCAATCTACCAATACCTCTTGAACATTCCTCTGGAACTGGCATAAGCGGGATTATTAGCGTTCATCTGATTAGACCTGTCAAGATCGTGTTTACCATACGATGGGGTGTGAAGTCTAGCTCTGTAGGAATCCCTGAAAATGATTATTCCAAAATATTACCACACAATAAATACTAAAAGCTAACCAAATTTATCATGCCGGTTGCTACTTTTTCAGTTCAGGGGATTTCAGAAGAATAAATAATTAACTAAAAACTGTTTATTCTGAACGTTTCATAATAGAGCAAAAATTAAAAAATATCGCATTGTCTTTTCAAACGAAATATAAAAACTATTTCAAATTATGTTCGGAAATATTTTCGTTAACTTCCAGGCGTATATTGATCCTCTTCATCAAGTTGGTGGGTTCGTATCCCGTAGTTTTATGCTGATCATGATGCGCGTTTTATTTTTTCAAGAAAAACTGAAATATCTTCTGAAAGGTTGATTTTTGGTATAGGGGGTTTTTCATGAAAATGAGTGGAAATTATCTCAGAATATCAAAAGTTTATTGAAATACAGGGTGTATAACAGGGTGTTTCATTTAAAAAACTGAGTTGTGGCCCATTTTTATGTCTTCAAAGTTAGTCATCGAGTCAGAACACCTTGTATAACATACAGAAAAGTTACTCGTATAAAACAATGAAATGAAATATTTTGATGAATCAGTTATTATTTATCTATTCCATCAAACTTTTGAATTTTATGGGGGAATCACTCGAAAGCCGAATGCCTAGTTTTTTTTTCAGAAAACAATTGAAAAATTTTACAACGGTTCAGTTTTGCTACAGGGTATATTACATAAACTCACACTGAAATCATGTCATGTATTTAAAAATGAACAAATATACAGAATGTTATATTTGAATTACGGAAGGTGGTACCCATTTCCCGTCTAACCGGTAGTGTTGGACAAATGTCATCATTATCGTCCTTTGAAGCATATTGAAAAACCTATATGATTGCCAATTTTCAGGAAATACATCTTTTTATTTCCCAAAACACGACTAACCAACAGTCATCGAGCTGTACCCTGTATAATTCATCAAATAAAGATACCTCAACTGTTTCACCGTCCCCCGCTATGGATTTTTCTGTAAGATATAAAAATGATGCAAAATATCATTACACAACAGCGCAGAAATTTTTTATTTTCCATTGAAAGATCAGCTGAGTTTATCTTTCCAATGAGAGGAAAATCTCAACATATAAAATGGAAATTTTTAGGTGAGATTAGTTTTTAGAATAAGTTTTCGGAGAAAGAGAAGTTCAGAAAAATGTTTTGTTGGAAATGTAGTTGACGGAACATGAATTTTCATCAAATATACGAGTTCTTTGTACACAAATATATCTATGTTTTGAACACAAACGAACTGTAAAACATATTTTGTCAAGGGATATTCAGAACTCAAGTATATTTCAGCAAATTTGTGAAATCAGCGGAAAAGTCAACAAGTCTGCTAAATCTTCCCCAAAAATGAAAAATTAAGTTCATGAATCCTAAAAAATACATTCTAGGAATACTTCGCGGTTTATTGTTAGCATTCTACATAGAAAATTCGATTATTTTATTACTCATAAATGAATTGAGTCACCGAAACAAATCTTTTTTGTTTTTTTTTTAAATCAATGTCTGTTGCTATTTCAATAAAGATATGTATGAAAAATTGGAAAATAAATTTCATTCAGTCTCGTTTGGATCAAACTTACAAATTGTAATGAAACTTTTGGGGTACTATATCTCTGAATTATTCAGTTTTAAAATTTCTCAACAAGTACTTATGATGCACTGTTTGGAACCTTTGGTGTAGTAATGAATATTACTGGAGTTTTTTCCCAACACCAAACTAAAGGGGTAAACTTTCATTCAGATAGGAAGGGGCTATATAAGAAAAACATCCTTGAAATTTGGAAGTATGGTGTCTAGGTATGTTGAATGAGTTAATTCTCAAAATATGTATGTCAGAATGCCTGCTTAGTAAACTATATAAATAACTAGGTGTTACAGTTTGAAGCAACTTAAATGAAAACATTTTTATCAAATATTGAACTCTGTATCTCACATTCAGCTCCTTCATTTCTAACAAAAATGGGGTGACTTCACCATATGGTATACAGCATACGAATCGCATGCAGGCATTTTGTATACGTTGTAACTTCTGTTTGTTATATTGCGGCAAAAAATTGTAATACACCGAACAACAATACTCGATATGGGAGTAAGTAAATAAGAGTTTTAACTAACCTGAGTTTCATTTCTTCTGATAACTGATACTTGAATTTATATAGCGATTTGAGTTTGAAGAATGATACTTTGAAAATGTTTGTCTCATGTTCGTGGAAAGAAAAAGAGCTATCTATGGTTACGCCAAGATTTTTAGCGCTGTCTACCCAGTCAATATCTGCGTTATCGAGAGTGAGCCTAAAGTTACACTGAGTTTCTACTATTTCTCTTTGATACCCTATGCATAAGGCCAAAGTTTCATTTCGATTGATTTTCAGTCCATGATTCTCCGAGTATAGGAATGTTTTGTGCAAATCTGTGTTTATATTGGCCACGCAACTTTCTGTATCGGTGTTATGAGAAGACAAATATAGCTGTATATCATCTGCGTATAGATGTACTTGACAATGTGATAAGAAAGTGGGGTAATCAAAAATAAAAACTGAAAACATCAAGGGTCCTAAAATACTTCCCTGCGGTACACCTGAGACTGTTTCTTTCAGGGATGACCATGAGTAATCATCCAGTTTGACCCTCTGTGATCGGCCTGTGAGATAGCTGGTCATCCATTCAAGAGAAATGTCATCGAATCCTATAAACTTGAGCTTGCTGATGAGTAAATCGAAATAAACTAAATCGAAAGCTTTACTTTTATCAAGCAGTACTAAAATGGTGACTTTTGATTGATCTCTGAATCTCGCAAGATCGTCGACTACTTTCAAGAGGGCAGTCGTGTTCCATGTTTTTTGCGAAACCCAGACTGCTCGTACGGGAGTATTCGATTTTCTTCATGAAAAGCTCTTATTTGACGGGAAACATTTTTCTCGAATATTTTAGAGAATGAAGGCAGAATGCTGATAGGGCGTAGGTCACTGAACGTGGTAGGTGCATTCTTTTTCGAAATTGGAATTATATTAGCAACCTTCCAAACATCTGGAAAGATACCCTCTGTCTAAAGGACTCGTTGAAAATAAGTTTAACTTCATCAATACAGTGTAATATCACTAAAGAAATCTTCTTGAAATCTATATTGTCAATACCTAAAGCATTAGATTTTATTTCTTTGATAGCAGTCAAAATATCATCATCACATATATCGGTGAAGGAAAAGTTCATAGGAGCGTTCAATTTATCATTATTGTAGAATGAAATAGTTTCATTATTTACTATTGAATGTCCAGCCACATTTAAAAAATAGTCATTGATTTCTTCAGATCTACGTAGTTCAATTGGCAGACTATTGGTTTGCGAGGATGATTTTGTAGTAATACCCCAATCTGCAAGATTTCCCCATGTCATTTTTGGATTGTTTTCATTTTTGTTCAAAACAAATTCTATATATACTGTTTTTTCACGTTTCATTGCGTCATTGACGTAGTTGCGTAAAGTTACATAGTACTGTCTAACGGCTGCTGTCTTTTCTTTAAGACATTTGGCATGAGCTCTATCACGGGTTTTCATCATCATTTCAATATTATAAGTTATATACGGGGATGAAATGAATTACTTAGTCAATTTTGTATTTGCAAAATATCGGTCTTATAAAGTTTTTCGTAAGATATCTGCAGACGGACCAAAATCTGTTTTAGCCGTTTCATGACAAACAGAAAATAAAAAAATATATGCAAATGAATATTGTCAGTAATCAAAAATAAGTTTGGTTGGAACATATCAATTCTAACTCATCGACCTTAAAGAAACGTATTATGGAACATTATCATAATACTCTTCATCATTTTCAAATCGAAAAATACGCATTTTTTTGTGAATATATAAATAAATGTTCACCGGATAATCTCTTGATGTGGTGGTATTTCTTTCATTATTTCACCCGACATCTGAATCAAATTTTCACATACTGTTTCGATTTTAAAATTCGTACAGAGAAGAAAAAGTTTCAATCAGGGAATACTTTTGGAACTGAACAGGGTGATCAAACAAAAACTAAACGAAAATCCATAACGTATTCAAGAAAAACTTCATTGTGAGATTTTCACTGAACAATTTTACAAAAACTCAACATGTGTTTCACTATATTATAGCTTCTTCAGGCGTGTCTATACTCTATAAGATGCTATTGTAGAGTGAATCACATGTTGCGTTTTTGTGAAACTGTTTAGTAGGATTTGTTTCTAATTCACATATTGGCAACAGCGCCTATATCATGTTGAAATAATTTATACTTACCTAGATAGTCTACTTTAAAAAAGAAAAATTATCTTTATGAATCAACAATTACTGGAGCCACATAAACAACAGTTGTTATGTTATTTATTTATATAGAGGAAGATAGGTTAGTTGCACAAAATGTCATATGTTACAGAATATCTCGGAACTCGGAACATAAGTAAACAGAACAGCACGCCTCTGAAATATGTCATCTTTGTTTGTCTCATTCTCTTGAAATTTTTAAACGATGGAGACCTTTCATACAAAATTTCATTTTGTTCACATTTTCTATTGATAACAATCAAAATTCTAGAGCATTCTGAAGTATTTTTGTAGTAATTTTATGGCACAATTTTCAACACAAATTCATCACAGAAGCTGGTTTTGTTTCAGATATACTTTCCAGTTATTCGTACTGTTACGTTTTTCCCGTGGGTTGACCAATAATTGACTACATTGAACAATAATTGAAATTTCATTTCAAATATCACAAACAGTTCAACTTCAACTTCAACTATTATTCGAATGTATATCGCCTTACTAGATCGCTTCGCGTACTGCACTGTAACTTTCACTTGACTGTGTCGATATGCTCGTGTCTAGCGTTTATATATCACAATCGAAAGCAGTAGAAACTTCGCCCGAATTCCATCGAAGTCGGTAGCATTATTCTCGCTGCATCTAGAGCGACAGCGAACATCGTTCTCTCACGCGCTCTTAGCTACGTTACAATGGGGAATGTTCCTCAATTTTGGTTATTACAGCAAATGCAAGTTTGAACG